GCCGACACAGATTAGTTATTTCCTTAGCTTAAGAAGAGACCGTGGTAAGTGAAAATTTACATTTTTAGTGCCTTTAATCAACGTTTTTCAGAAAAATCCACACAGAAATGAGTTTTTTTAATGGGCATGAAAGGTGTTGAGCCAAAAAACAAAAATGTGATAACTCACAAACCTGCGGAAAAATGCAGGTTTCTTCTCTTTGAATATTTTGACGAGAGCCTGATTCCACCACGCTGCCTCATACTTCTTACTAAACTGTGGCCAGAATAACGGCGGTAGCTTAATTTACATTCCTGAGAATGCCTGGAACAGGTGTGAATCAATGTGAAATTTGCCAGTAACTTATGGAGTAGCTTCAGAATCAGATAGATGGACAGATAGATAGATAGATAGATAGATAGATAGACTGGTCGCATTGTACGAAGTAGGTGTAACAAAAGTATCAGACATGGAACAAAAGAGAGATAAGGACGACAGATGTCTGGTCGGAAAGATGGAGCACACCACACCAGAGCACCTGCCAACCACCCACTAGTGTAAGCTGTACGGCACTTGCACACAATAAAGTTCATTTAGTGTGGGTGGTTGGCGGGTGTTCTGGTGTGGTTTGCTTCTTCTTTCCTATCAAACATCTATCGTCCTTAGATCTATCTCCCCTTCATCTTTTTTATGTTTGTTACTCTCTTGTAACAGCTCTAATCTTCTGGCGCTCATATGACCGTATGCAGTTGCGAGCGCCGAAAAACCCCTACTAAACTAAACTAAAAGTTCATTTAGTGCTGGGGAAAAGTAAGGCACAGACAACAGAGGGAGAAGTAAAGAAGTAGTAGGACTTACCAGTTGCGTCCTCAAACTAAAGCACTAAAGCACTCGCTAAGTGCCAGAAGCTCAGGGCTGTTACAAGTACAATAGAGTCAAGTAAAGTTGTTCCCGCATCCGATCCGGACTTTGGGGATTGCCTTGTTGTTGTTGTTAGTGAGGCAACTTCCTGGGCCTTCGGCATATTGTGGTAGGGTGGCCAGTTTCTTTCCACGCCACCTTTACTTCCTCAACTCGCAGTCAGGTACCCTATTACTATTACTGCTGGGTGGGCAGAAGGGGGCGAAAAAATCCGTGTCCGAACCGAGGCTTGAACCCGGACTTTCCGCTTCGGAGACGAGCGCACGAACCGCTCCGCCACCACACCCTCAAGAGAGTAACAAACACAAAAAGGAGGAGATATAGATTATCATAGATTAAGACAAGGACGACAGATGTTTGATAGGACAGGAGGAAACCACACCAGAGCACCCGCCAACCACCCATAGAGCTCAAATCACGTCCATAGAACAAATATTTGGTTAGACGACTCGGACAGAGGAGGCCCGCCTCTGTGCTGTAGAGGGTAGCTTCCCTGTCCCACACACACACACAGGAGGAACAAGTTCTATTCCCGAGTGGGGAGAAATTTTATCGAGTATCTCCTTCTTCCTATGTCTCTCTCCTCTGTCTCTGTTGACCCTGACTGTCAAAGATAGAAAGTAGCCCGCCTCCTAAATGATCTAAATTGTGTTGGTGGTTTGTTTTAGTGTTACCGTTTCACGGTACTTGAAACATAATAAGATTGAATAATAAGTTACTACAGAAGATTAGAGTTAGACTTAGAGGTGTTGCAAGAGAGTTCAGTAACAAACACACAAAAAGAGGAGATATAGGAGGACGATAGATTATTTGACAGGACAGAAGGTGCACACTAAATCACAAGAGCACCCGCCAACCATCCGTTGTGTGTTGATACTGATAGGGGTGTTTTGTTTTAGTAAGAGTTTTAAGGCACTTGCAACACAATGAGGCCATACTGTCGAAGATTAGAGGTGTTACAAGAGAGAAACAAACATAAAAAAGAAGGAGGGGAGATAAGGACAATAGTTGTTTAAAATATGAAAGAAGGTGCAAACCACACCAAAGCACCCGCCAACCCACCACTGACCAGTGACAGGCAAAGTAAGACGCCCGCTTGCTAAACACTAAACGATCTAAATAATCCAAAGCACCCGCCAACCATTCGTTGTGTGTTGATAGTGATAGGGATGTGTAAAAACACATATTAATTAAAATTTAAAAAAGAAAAACTCGGACATTCCGGCTCATTTGTACAGAAGACAAGCACTCGATGAATTCAGCGAACATGTATCCAGGTTTATAGAAGATATGATATGGACTAACAAACAGACAATCGCTTTCAGCCTCAACAGACAGAAACTTTCTGGAACAAAATCATAGCAACAAGAAGTACATATAGTTTTTGTTTTAGTAGAGATTTTACGGCGCTCGCAACTGCATAAGGTCATAGGAGCGCCAGAAGATTAGAGGTGTTACAAGAGAGTAACAAACATAAAAAAGAAGAAGGGGAGATAAGGACGATAGATGTTTAATAGGAAAGAAGAAGCAGACCACACCAGAGCACCCGCAGTACATATAGTGACAAGACACAAGAACAAGAACCAAGTAGAACTACACACACAACAACCCAATCGGCTGCTACTGCTCGACATACATACAGCAACAACAAAATATTACACTAAATTACAGTGCAGCCTCTCTGTAACCACATCGTCAGGACTAGAAAAAATGTCGTTATAGCCAGAGAGAGGCACCAAACATTACTAATACAGTACAGTGGAAACCATATATACATGTATAACAGGCCCGGTAATAACAGAGAACCGGTAATAACAGGGATGTTGAAAATCCCCGTTTTTTCCTACTCTATTAATAAAGATTATCGGCAATAACAGGGCCTCATCGTCATCGGAGTCCAATCGGTTGTTTTAGCAGGGACAAAGGCTCGTTAACAATGTGTAAAAAGTAAGGGAGAGAGAGAGGGAGAGAGAGGGAGAGAGAGAGAGAGAGAGAGAGAGAGAGAGAGAGAGAGAGAGAGAGAGAGAGAGAGAGAGAGAGAGAGAGAGAGAGAGAGAGAGAGAGAGAGAGCAGCGGGTGAAGCCAGAGGGCTGCGGTGTGCTGCAGACCTCGATCTAGCCCGAAGCCTAGCTACACGCTGGCGTAATGTGTTATGTATGCGCAGGCCAAGGGAAACTGCTCATGAATAAATACAGCTGGATTAGTCGAGGAATACAAATGTACTTACTTCCCTTACATTTCTGATTTAACAGAGATCTGATATAACAGAACCTTTTCTCTGATCCAATCATCCCTGTTATATCACGTTTTCACTGTATAAAATAAGTATATATATTATATATATATATGCTAACATGCAAGCACTGCCACAGAATCTGCGCTTCAAACATAGGAAGAATTAGCCATGATAGAAGCTGCTTGAAGACAGCCTTGAGACCATCTTAAGCTAAATTGACCGTCTGTTTAGACGAAAAGAGCCTTTTATATATATTTAAGGAAAAAATCAGGACCTGGGCACAATGTTGCTATACAGAGGATGTCGTTCTATCGGAGGTCGTTATAGAGGGCTGCACAGTATACATCTATCCATGTATTGATTCTTCCCTTTGTCACCCCACTATGTTGCTATACAGAGGATGTCGTTATAGAGAGGCTGCACGGTATAGATCTACATGATCTATCCATGTATTGATTCTTCACTTTGTCACCCCAGTCTACCAGAGAGTAAGCCGTCCGGCAACACCCCCCCCCCCCAGACAGAGCCGGACACATACATCACACACAGACATAGACACAGACTCACACACACACACATACAGAGACGCAGACACACACATATCACACACAGACATAGACACAGGACTCACACACACACATACAGACAGAGACGCAGACACACACATATCACACACAGACATAGACACAGGACTCACACACACAGACAAACATACAAACACACACATCACACACAGACATAAACACACATAGACTCTCCCCCCCCCCCCCCCCCCCCCCCACACACACAGACGCAAATACAGACACAGACTGTGACCAAACTTCCCCAGCACAGGAAAACAAACAGGTGACCATCTCCTCATCAAGATCAAACATTCACGGACAAACAAAAAAAAAAAAAAAAAAAAAGTAGAAGAAAATGAAAGAAAACATGAGCTGTAAACTTGAAACTTTTGGGTTAGAAATAAACAAACAAACAAACATTTTTACTAGTTCAATAAAAGAACATGAATGAAAAAAACAACACCAGCGCCAGTGGTGGGCACCGAGAGGGAACTGTGAGAAGAAACAAAAAACATGTTAGTAAAAATCATTATGAGCAATTACTGAGGAGTCCCCTTAAACCGAACAGTTAATCTGAATTAGGGGTCTACTCGATAGCAACAGTAGTAAATAAATTGAAAGTAAATTTTATACCAGTATATATTAAAAGCCCCTGGGTTTTTTAAAGTTTTTTTTTGCGTTTGGTTTTTGTTTGTTACTTTGTTTTTGGTCGGATTTCTTTCGTTGATCATTTTGTCTTCTTCTATTTGAGCAGCCTCTCAAAACCGAAGAAAATCTAGCGGCCCTGCAGACGTCAGTTTAAGCAGACTCCACGGTACATGATGAAATGATAGAGTAATTCAAAACAAAACGTTTCCAACAATCCCATCATCGTCAAATCTGAAACTGTTGCTGACAGGTCACATAAAGAGAAAAAGTTACAAGTCATAAAGAGTATATTGTAAACGACTTGTTGTGCTGACACAGCAGCGATGGCAGCAGAGCCGACAGTCCCCCCCCCCCCAATCTGTGGTGACTGCACTCAGAACTGTGAACAAATAAAACTTGTGCTGTTACTGTTGTAAAAAATTCGCTACCATAGAATTACAAAGTTCTTTCTGCCGACACTTTTGGCCGTTTTGAGTTACTAAGAAGAAGACCATGGGGCCAGAAACTAAACTAAATGAACTGTCAAAATTGTACGATTAAACATAGTCGATATCAAGATATTCAAAGAATTGCATTCGAAAAAGCTTGACACTTGACGTTGTGAAACTAAAAAAGTCTTAACGTCAGATTTCTCACAACATGGTAGGTAGGCCTACTGAGCAAATAGAACTTTGTAACTCTCTGGGGCATCAAAATGTTAAGAGAACTTTGTGCTCAAGAGAAATACAGGTGAATCCAGGTTTCTTACAAAATCTGGGAAGAATTCAACTTTTGTTGAATAGAGAGCTAACTCCCACAAAGATTTCATCAATAAGGGTTAGGGTCAGGATTAGGGTTTTTATGCCAACCAATTCAATTCCGAGCAAGGGCATGAAACAATTTTCTTTTTAGGAAAACAACATCGGAACAATTACAGCCATTTGATGAAGGGGAAAAAGCAAGACAGACAGACAGAAAATCAATAACAACAGAGGGTGAAACAATTACAGCCATTATGATTTGTGGTATGGCAATAGCAAGCTGACTGAGACTGAGAGGGATACAACATCCCAGCAGAAAGGCCGAGCGAGACACTCGATAACATTTCTCCCTATTCAAGTATCAAACTCAGGTCTCTTGTATGCGACAGCGAAGCGCCCAACTCCTACACTGGGTACACCACAGGCCCTGGTCAACAACTTACAACAAGCAGAGAAAAACAAAACAAAATAATTTCAAAAAAACTTCATGCAGTTAGTCAGTTAGTCATGCAAAAACTCTTAGATCTTGTTAAACAAACAAATATCAGGGTAGATCTCAATGAAATATATAAATATTATATCTATACAATCACACGTAGCCATTCAACGAGGGAAACAGAAATAAACAGACAAAAGTCAAAGGCAAAGAAAAATACACACAAATGACTACCACGGCAAAGTACAAACGTATGGCTATCAAAACAAACAGAAATAGAGACAAATTACTATATTTGTATACAGGCAAAAAGAAAAGCAGATGAATAAATCATCAAAGCAAAGATAAATACACAACCAGGCATATATGTGGTTATCAAAGCAAAGATAAATACATAACCAGTCATATATATGGTTATCAAAGCAAAGATAAATACATAACCAGGCATATACGTGGTTATCAAAGCAAAGATAAATACACAACAAGGCATATATGTGGTTATCAAAGCAAAGATAAATACATAACCAGGCATTGGTTATCAAAGCAAAGATAAATGCAGACAAATGACTATCAAAGCAAACATAAATTCAAACAAATGACAATCAAGCCAAACAAATTAAATAAGCCATCAAGACAAAGACAAGTTGACAAATCATCAATGCAAAGAGAAATGCTGACAAATGATGATCAAGGAATGTATCACAGTTTGAAGAATATAGATCTATCTACGGTAATTTTTACTACAAAAGTCCTTGCCAAAGCTTTTCAGCCTGCTCTCTGTTGCAGGAGATATCTGAGAGCTTTGACAACTCCACTCAGTACACGACCACTACACACATATCACATGCCTACTACACACCTGTCACATGCCCTCAACGCGTGAGTCACACGCCATCAACGCGTGAGTCACACGCCAACGCGTGAGTCACACGCTCACCACACACCCACCAGTTGGGTCAGCTATGACATGGTTCAGTTGGGAGTTCCAAGCCACCAACCTATGGTCCACTTACAGTACTACAGCCATTGACCACAAAACCTATGGTCTACAAGCACTCCAGCCATTGACCACATAAACAACCATCGGTTCATTGCAGGCAGGATTCAAATACACATTTCCCCTGACCCACTTAATAAATACTAAGTGACTGTGGGCCCGAAGCACTGAAATGCCGTAGTATGTTCAGACGACTCCAAAAATATCATAAAGTGTTCAGACGTCTCCAAAATGTCGTAAAGTGTTTAAACGTCTCAGGTGTCTCCAGAAATGCCGTGAAGTGTTCAGACTCGGACATCTCCAAAAATGTTGAAAAGTGTTTAGACGTCTCCAAAAATGTCGTAAAGTGTTTAGACGTCTCCAAAAATGTCGTAAAGTGTTCAGGCATCTCCACAAATGTGAAGTGCTGAGCTCCAAAAATGTTGTGAAGTGTTCAGACATCTCCAAAAATGTCGTGAAGTGTTCAGACGTCTCCAAAAATGTCGTGAAGTGTCCAAAAATGTCGTGAAGTGTTCCGACACCTCAAAAAATGTCATCAAGTGTTCAGACGTCTCCAGAAATGTCGTGAAGTGTTCAGACGTCTCCAAAAATGCCTAAGTGTGTTCAGACATCTTCAGACATCTCCAGAAATGGGCTCCACCATCATGCAAACATCTCACTTTCCACAGAACCGCTAGCCTCCCCAACTCTTCACAGAACCGCTAGCCTCCCCAACTCTTCACAGAACCGCTAGCCTCCCCAACTCTTCACAGAACCGCGAGCCTCCCCAACTCTTCACAGAACCGCGAGCCTCCCCAACTCTTCACAGAACCGCTAGCTTCTCAAACTCTTCACAGAACCGCTAGACTCCCCAACTCTTCACAGAACCGCTAGCCTCCCCAACTCTTCACAGAACCGTTAGCTTCTCAAACTCCACAAAGCAGCCAGCGTCCTAACTCACAATCCTCGAGACAAAGAACTGACCAAGGCATCGAACTCGGACAGAGCACGACTGATGCTGCTGCTGGCACTTTTACTTTTAGCCCCTCCGCCAGACGCGGTGCTTGAGCCGACAAAGGTGGTGGTGGAGGTGGTTGTGGTCTTCCTCTTGTTCTTTCTCCTCCAGCCCATCACTTTGTCCTGATGCTTGCGGCTCGAGAGGTGCAGGAGAAACTGGTGCTCTTCCCCAAGGGAAAGGTCGCAGGTGGAGCAGTAGAGGCAGCCCGAGGGTGTGCGGAAGTTGGCCAGGTCAAACTTGTACCGCTTGGATGGCTCGATGGACAGGAGGGAGTAGAGGTGTTCCTCGTCGAGAGAGTCAGGAAGGCCTCGTTTCTCTGCTGGGGGCACATGCTTAGTAGGTTATTGTGTGTGTGTGTGTGTGT